ATTTAAGCCGTCTCCAGTCCATTATTACATTTCATATATTTCTGTGATCTTAGTACAAATAAATTCATATATTTATAGCTCGAAATATTTTAAAAAGATCACAATAACACTGTCTTTCTTTCCATACAATGAATAATTTATAATTATGATGATGTAATGACATAAAACATGAAAGTATAAATATCTGAGGTGTTTCCCGAACTTTAACATATATTCAAATCATAAAGCTGATAGCCATAAGTATATAGTCTAACATAACAGTATTTATTTGTCCTTACCTTGAAAGAGGGCTAAAGATGGAGCGTAAAGTACAAGAGCCAAGTACATCATCTGTGAGACAACAAAATAGTTATAGATGATTTGAAAATTGTTATACATACTTCAGGTTTAAGAAATACTAAAATTAATAATTGCGAGACTTATCTAATAAAATCTGGATTTTACATATTCCCCACCTTAACACCTATATTTAACATTTTATGTTGTCATTGGTTGCCATTAACCTTAGACAGATGTTATTTAGGTACTCGAAGAAGACGATATTTAATCATTTCTATATGACTTTATCTAAGTACGCTCAGGTATTGTGTTAAAGTAGTGTATAACGTTATGTTCTGAACGGTTAAATGTCAATTTCACTCAGAGTATCAACATCGTTCCCGTGAGAAACTTACTGACCAACTTGGATGAATTTGTAACGACTCTTGACGCATAGTTAGAAGGCCAGAAAAAGTTTGAGAGGTAAGGGAATTTCTACGCAACATCTAAAGTTAAATACCTCAGTAAATGATGTAAGTAGTGTTTTGACCTAGACTTTGTCACATTTCCAGCCGACACAACGAACTCTGGTATACGAAATATCTCGTCAACAGCTGCGTGCACAAGGTGCATACAGTCCAGATGCTCTTACATTTCTTCTTGTTGGAAACCCGTAGCAAAGAAAGACTTGTAAAGAAATATTATCAGTCATATTGACAAGCATTCAGATGTTCCCGTAATTCAAGAAAGTCGTTGTACACTTAATCTAGATAAAACATAATTTTTTGTGACTCTGTACGATGGAAACTTCGATTATAGCAGTGTTTGTCTACGTTTTATAGATGGTCTCAGCATGAGATCTCGAGGCTGCTGTCAAACACAGGTCGGCGGAAAAAGACACTGAAGTGGCAAGAAACACCACGTTGTACACCTCGTTACTATCGGAAGAACGTTTTTATCGATGATCGCAAAACTATTTCAAGAGTTGACATCTCATCCCTACTAGACACAGTTGGGTCCCTAATATAATACATAGATTTTTTTATGACTGTAACTTAAGGCAGAATGATTTTATTATGACTTTATCTTATTTCTGTTACTAAAATGATCTTTACTAATTTTCCTAAATTTTATAACAATTTCGTTGAAGTTTAAGATGTAAAAACTAAAATTATATTATTATGTTATAGTGTAGTAATAATACTAACCTAATTATAACATGCATGGTCTTTGAGTGATGATCTCTGGAGATAAATCCAATCACGTTGGTGAACATTTGACATGGTTTTTATGTGAATTTATAGGACCGCTCTTTATAAACTGATTTCACGTAAAAGAATATATATATATATATATATGTATATTCCTGTAGATCATACCTTTTGTCGTGAGATCACAGAACTTACAAGTAGATCACCATATTGAAAATATCCACTTTGGTATTCATGGTACTCATTGTTTCAGTGATAGAGTGATGTAACATCAAATTATATAATACATTCTCTGACAAATTATCAAGTTGAGGTCGTTGACAGCCATATGACTAATGAACAAAGATCAGTAGAAAGTATAAAAGAATTGTACACTAGCTGGAATGTATTAGACTCGTGTGAAAGTTAATTTCATCTTGGCAATCTAGTATTTTATAATTCATACGTGTTTTAGCGTATTCTTAAATATCGTATCGAATCAAGCTGTAAGCTGAATTTGTCTCTCAGATAAATTTGTTGAATAAAGCCCCAAGTGTAAGATGGACGAGACTGATATTTCTATACATGTCTAAACATATATACCCTGAAGAAGATAGACTATGCGCAGAACTTGGTAAGTTATATTTGTAAACAATAGGAGTTCTAGGTCGAAAACAGAAAATAACATCTTAATTTATCCTCAGATCTTGAGGTCAACATGTATGTACGTTTAGTTTTCTGTATCATTATGTAAAGTAGAAGAACAGATAAATTCATTTTTACTGACTATTAGGTTTAGTGGCATACCAAATCTGTTCTTCATTGTTAGACTAACATACAACTTATTTTGGTTGTAAAGTATATTTTGTAAAGATAAACAGCAAACTTGATGTATTTATAAAATGTGAAAGAATTGTCTTTTTTGTAGACCATATCTTTTATCTATGAAGCAACAAAATTCAAATATTTTGTCAAAAACTTTTACAGATTTTGTTCTTAAAAGCTTCAAAGTAGAATGTATGCATATTATTTGTGATAAATTGTACATAATGTTGTCTTTTCCTAACATTAACATTTTGTTAATGAATGTTTTAGTATATGTGATACTTGACAAGTCAGTCATATTACTTATATATAATAATGATAGTATATTGGGCTATGATGAAACATGCCAGTTTTAAATTATTGGGAAGGGGTAATGTGAGGGGCAAAAGGTCTAATGTCCAGCATGACGGGTGTATAATTTCTATATAAAGAGACTTTCAATAATTATAACTTGAATCATTTTGGAGAATGTCCCTTATGTTTCATTTACGGAGATTTATTCTATTTGACTAATAACATGCTAGAACAAATATATACCTCGAATATTATTACATTGGGCTGTAAATCAGTATTTTATAAACTAAGATGTTTTCGTAAATAGGATATTAATATATTTGAAGTTTTGTTAATAAACGGTTCAGTATATGTGACACTTGTTAGCTCTGTAATTTTACTTACATATAGTAATGATACCATATTGGGCTGTGATGAAACTTATGTTTTATATATGAAATATGAAAGGAGACTTGTATTAGTTGTTCAAACATACATGTTAGAAACTGATATTTGTGATGTATAATTTATCATAAAAGATTAAGATAGACATGTAACTATCTGAAATTTGATCTTTATTTTGAACAGAGTACAGTTAAGTTGTTGATGAATTGTCAACGTAAGATGAGTATAAGTTATATTTTTCAATTGACCTTGTCTGAACTTTTGTATGTTTGTTGTATGTTGGGCACAATTTAATCATATTGAGTAGTGAGAATAAAATGTTTTTGTTGTAAATATGAGGAACTCAGCGAAATACAAGAATTGTACACTAACTTTTCGTTTATAAACTATAGTAAATATCTTACACACTGAACTGAAATGTACAAAAATTGCATGAAAGCTAACCCAGTATTTTATAAACTAAGGTGTTTATACATAGTAGTGTACCATGAAGTTTTGTTAACAAATGTTTCAGTATGTGTGATACCTCTCAAGTCTATTATTTTGATTACATCTATTAATGATAGCATATTTGGCTATGATGAAACGCGAGGTTTACATAAAAAATCACAGTTCATTGACTTGTAATTAATGGTTAATATATTTGATGATCTTTCTATAAAGTAGAAGATAATGCATCATATGCTACTGCAGTATTGTTTCAAAATCTATGGGAGGAAAATACTTGAAATGTAAAACAGGTTTTCTGAGCCTACAAATGAAACCTTAGATGTTTAGTTCACATTGAATTCTTTATTCGTTTATTTATGTAGTGACATTATTTTAGTACGATGTTTCGTGATAAATTCAGTGTTTGTTTTCGCATAATGTTACACAAATGGAAAATATATATTGTAACTGAAATAGTAATATGAACATAATTTACAAGAGTTATTTGAAAGCTAACCCCATATTTTAGAAGCTAAGGTGTTTATAGTATATATAAGTGTATCTTGAAGTTTTGTTAATAAGTATTTCAGTATGCTGGTGGTTTTACACAGTTGTTGTTATGATAAACAGTAAATGTGTTGGATTTATAAAATATGAAAGAATAATCACGTGATTTATAATTGAAGGTCCTCTTAAGATTATGGTTATCAACTTTTTTTTCAGTTATGTTCATTTGTGAAAAATGTATTTGATGCTTTGGTGAACTAATAAGCTTGAATTTTCAAATGTACATTAAGTGAAGTTTTGAAAGATACTGAAACAGAATTTCTGGTTTGTCTGTCAGTTTTATAAAAGCGAGGGCATTACTTGTTTTAACCTTAGGCAAACACAAGGGTTAAAGCTTTCTAAGCTTGCCATCAGCTGGGATGCATCAATAATAGGTTGAAAGGGTGACCTATCAGGTTATTAAGGTCTATTGCAGAAGAAAGTTCATTTATATCTGTACGAATATGTTTTAGTAGAAATCAATAAACATTATGTCTAATCCATCAAGAAACAAGATTTGTGAAAAGGTTTCTACAAAAAGGTAAGAATAATAAATTTACAATAGTAATAGCTGAACATAGTTATTTACATAGATCTATTATACTTAAGCAGAACAAATTAACTCATAAAGTTAAACATGAGATTTAAATAAGCATCCTTTTCAGCACGAATAAATTTTGAATATTAAATATAGACATTATTAGCGATAAGTGTTTTACATATAAATAGTCAGAAAATGTAGAAAGTATGTCATGCAAATTAAATATAGGAGCAAAAACTATAATCAGTACGTTAAATGGGTACTAAATCATAGAAAAATACTATCGACTGTTTCGTTCAATATTTATAAAAATGAAACATTAGGTAGGATAAAATCTTCTCAGGACAGATAACTGTAAAAGTGTGTACGTATGTTATTGGCTACAATATTTACTTCGCTCAAATAATGGATAATATGCGTGATAACAACTGAAATATGTAACATTGTTATAATAGTTGTCTCCTCAAAAAATAATTTTACTTGTAACTTTTTAAATTCAATCTAGACATTGCTGAAGTAATTACACATTGAGACACCCTATGACGAGCTCGTCATACTTTTTAACTATCCATCTAATAATACCATTCACAATAGCACTACTAACCTTAGTAGCTTAATTTACCATCCACCTATATAGCCTTAATATTACAATCCACCTAGTAACACTATCCGCCTTTGTAAAACATATGTAGTACAGTTCTGTATTATAAACATAATTTGAGAAAAGTTGAAATTTGTATGCAATCCTGCAGAAGTATAGTAATACTGTTTTCCTATAGAAACGCTATCTGCCTTTGTAAAACGTATCTAATATTATACTTATAAACCGAAACTGTAATTGTGATAATTGTAAACACAACATTATGCAAATTAGATTAAATTATTAATTCTAAGACTGATTGATATTATAACGTTGATGACACGTTGATATACATCACCCTCTGGTGGTTTGCTCATTATACCAACGTGCTTTCTGGTGCCATTTCATGAAACTATGAACCTAAGACAGCAGCGTCCTCTGATACCTTTATGTAACAGTTATATAACCCCAGATGTATATGTTACCTAACAGTTATGTAACCCTCAGGTATCGGCTTATTACGCAATATTTATGTTACACTCGGGAGGTATCCTCTCATCTTCACTCATCTGGCAACCTCCACTGAGGCAGCATCCTTTGGGCGGTCTTGTGTGTGTATAACTATTTCCGTCCATAATTCCAATAATATCTCACGAGATTTGATCAGTTTAGGAAGTTTAAGTTAGTTCTAATTCTATAAACTAAGTTGACAATGCAAAATAGTCCTTATAATCATGGTATAGACATTAATTAATAAATAATTGCTACAAATAGTCGCTAATTGTTTCCGGAATAAAGTTATTACCAATAACGTCTGCTCAAAGCTAGTTATCTATATAGATCAGGATCACAAATTAATCTATTAAGCATAATAACAAATTTAACCTTATATTGTTAATATATTTTTGTTATAATGAAGCTAAGGTTAAAAAAAAAGATGTAGTATAATTTATTTACAAGACACCTAAAAATTCATTGTTTGCTTCATCCACTGTCATTCCTTCCCTTCTGGCAAGAAGACTAATATATAGAACTTCCAGGAATTTTCTATTTTAGGCCAATCAGTTTTCCAAAGCAAGTTACTGTAAAGTTAGTTGACCTATAATCAGAACCTTTAAGCTATATGAATTCTGTGATAGAACGAAAGTAGCATAAATATTTTCGAATTATAACAGAAAATACATTTATCCGTAATTAGCCCTTGATATATCCTTGTAACTAGTAGTAGAGAAAGGCATTGAATAATAGTTTATTTGTATTAAATTCACCTCTTTAGATAAGGCTTAGTCCATATTCTTTGTTTTCACAAAATCCAGGATTACGCAAAATGAGTAATATTTTCTAAAATGGTTCAAATCCTAAGGAATGGGCCAAAATAAGTGATATTGAGATACCTACACCTCTTTTCTCTCAATATGAAATTGTAAAAAAAATGAAATTAAATACTCGAGAAAGAACTATTCTATTAATAGTATTAGAGAGTAATCTGGCAACAGTTGTGTTTCTTGTATTCGGAAAATTTGCAATATATTACTTATAGTAAAAAAGTAATTCCTTTTTCAGTTTTTATTTGGTTTAGTCTTAGTGCTAAATATTCGTCGAAAGACCTATGTAAAGAGTACATGACGAAACTAAAAGAAAAAACTATGTATTAATTTTCTTTCTCTCATCTGCAATTGATAAAGAAAACAGAATCAGAATTTCTGTTAAAATTTAATTTTTTTTTATTGTGTATTCAAAATAGTTTGTAATTACTTAAATCACTCACCGTTTCAACTACGAAAATCACAGAGCCTATAATCCTGACAGTCAGAGAGAAACGTTTCTCTAAATACTGAGAAAGAAAAAAAAAACATGGCACTTTCAAAATTTTATTAAGTTTTCATGTGCTAACAAAAATGTGTAATAATGAAAATTAAATCTTGGATTAAATATGATAATATTTGTATTTAGAAAAAATGCTTAGGTTATTATTTCTACTGGTTGGGGACCTGTTTGTTCGTTTGTAGATAAGCACATAGCTACACAAAGGGCTATCTGTGCACTGCTTACCACGGGTATTGATGCCCGGTTTTTAGCGTTGTAAGTCCACAGACATAACACTGTGCCACTGGAGGCACTGCTTACCACGGGTATTGAAGCCCAGTTTTTTAGCGTTGTAAGTCCGCAGACATATCGCTGTGCCACTGGAGGCACTGCTTACCACGGGTATTGAAGCCCGGCTTTTAGCGTTGTAAGTCCGCAGACATATCGCTGTGCCACTGGAGGGGGAGGGATAATAACGTATTGACGTTTTGTTGTCACTTCTGTCCGTTTCTTTATTATCACTCTAATCAGCTGAATGTATGTTATTATTTAATTTTAATGCTACCTCTAATTTTAATTCACATTAACTGAGAGAACCAAGCCAAAAACACTTGTTGATTGTATTGAAAAGAACTCTAAATAATATGTCATAATTTAGGACATCAGCTTCAAGTAAAATTATTTTTGAACAAATGTAAGTGTGGTGAACTCCCTTGGATGATAACGGTAGAATAACAATGTATTTTACAAAATACAATTATATAAGACAATATACACTAAAAAGCAGTATTCCTAAGTGTTATTATTATTATTTCTTTTTTTACAAATGTAAAATGTAGTTTTACACATTGTATAACATCTTCTAGCCCAGTTTTACTAAAATCCCGTTCAGAATGTCGTTGTCACGTTAATTAATAGCTTTTATTGTCTAAATATTGGCGATACTTATTGTACTGCAAAATTATTTGGCGCATATGAAATCTCTTCAACCTTAGATACTTTTCAGATTTTACAATGAATATTTCATTGTAAATTTTTGCGGAATTGACTTATATATTCAGCGCAATCGTGTCCAAACTATGAATCCGAGAGTTCATGGTTCACGGCCTGTTGATGCATAAACGCGCTCCATGCTTAGAGGCCGTCAGGGAACTATAAGAGTAATGTTCAAACCCCACTACTAGACAAGAATAACTCTAGCCTATCAGTTCAAAGTTAGGGATATATATATATATATATGTATATAGCTTTTATGTAGCTTTGAAACAAATCAAAATAAACGTAACTACCTCATAGACACTTGTCACTCCTAAATTGTAGAAAACAGGCAGATAACAGTAAGCCGCCAGCGGCATTGTAATGAAGAAACACAGACAGATCATCCAGAACTGCGTACCGTACTGATAGACTTCTGCAGGGGTCCCCAGCAATGTGATGGCTGACATAAAGCTGGCCAACACCGATATTGACACGGGAAATACACTCATGGACCGATCACCCATCAAGAATTCCTTGGTGGTGCTTTGTTTACTCCCACTACAGGCGTAGTAGATCCCGATGGCGGCTGATACAGTTAACATCCCTGCAAACACTATGTAGTCTGGTGTACCGAACCTGGTGGCCAGGTCAACAGACGAGATGACTGAGGCTGGAGTAGACATGATATTCTAAACAGAAAGACTCAGTTATATTGTATATCGTGTATCTTATTTAAGCAGTATATCGTCACATTATTGTAACATTTTTAAATCTATAGTTTTAACATTTTCCTAGGTTGTTTTGCCGTTTTCTAACTGTTTTAATACAAACAGCGGATTTGAATTTAATATGAAGCCACAAACTAACGAATGATCAGTTTATATCCAAACAAAGGAAAATACGTAACTAGTTTAGCGTAATAGACTTTTATACAACGTAAGTTGCTTCAACTTCAAATTTCAGTGATGCTCACTTAACCCCATACGAGTTTTTGATGAATACAAACTGCTCTAGTCTTTCAGTTCAAGATTAGAGACAGTTGGTTCAGTTACCCCTTGTTTAACTTCGCATAAACATCCGAAACAAACATTTTGTTATGTTATTACTTTTCATTTCGCCCCCCCCCCCACAGACTACTATAATTTCTCAACTCCACCATTAATCTGTGAAATAATAAAATATCGACCCTGATATATCACAGCCAGATGATGAAATACATAATACACTCAGAATACTCGTTCAGCCAGTTGTATCATTATCGAAATGCTGTCATTAACATGCTGTCCAGGTTATTTAAGGACTAATAGATAATGATACGCATAGTCCAGGGTTCTCTATCATTAACGAATTAATTCCCTCTGCAGTTCAACATATTGCTTTTTTTCACTTGTTACTTCCACTAACAAAATGTCTATTGAAATTTCTCACTTTATAATATTCATGGTCAAGGGTTATATCACTGTTGAACTGTCAATCGCATAATGAAAATATGTTAAACTTTTCTGAAACAAAAATGTAATAATATTTAGGGAGAAAGATATTGATACAAATCTTAGAGACAGGAAATCGCAATTATCTGGTTCTCTACAGTTTAATATATTGATTTAAATATAGGCACAATGTTAGCTACTTCCTACTACTAACCTTTTGTGAATTAGGTTGTAAATGAGCTTGTTGTATATTATTATAGTGGGTATATTTTAACAGATTCAAATCAATGAATGGTAGTTTAGAAGAACGGTGTTTAATTTTTTAGTGTTGCATTTGGAACGATTTCTTCCATCGTCAATGTCCTCGGTCTAATGGTCGTCTTTACGTACTATTGTCCAACTCTGTAACTTCCATTCCAATAAGCTTCTGTATAGAATAGCGAACTCAGTTTTATATTCAAACGTTCCATAAATCTTTCGCCGAATTTGGATGTCGGTTTCCAAGACTATATTATATTTAAATAAACTAAAAAGGAAATACACACTTGGCTGGAAAACCAGGTGATATGTATTTATATACGTCAGAGAAATCCAGTCTCATTCGCCACAGATCGTACATAAAAAAAAAAAACACTTCTTTGAACTTTATCACTAAGCTGCCATGCATTAATGATGCCCTAGGCATGACTGATGATGGCATTTCACTGTTAAATGGTTGGGAATTCATTGTGAACCAAATGTTAAACGTGTTACCTTTGGCACCATGGCTAGCAATTGTGACGCCTCAGCAATGAATTAGAAAAACCTAAATAGATTTATAAAGTGCAAATAACCCGTTAAAGTATAATATATATGCTAATTACAATAGAATTTAATGGTAAGCAATATACGTGGTATTTGATACCACTAGACAAAAGTTAAGAAATACATAGGCAAAATACAGATACTTTTTTTCGTAAGAAAAATACACATATTTAGTTACATCCTTCAAAAATAGACTTATTTAATTATACCCTTTCATAGATTGAGAAGTGATAAACTTACTATTTTATACTAAGGTAATATACTGAACCTCAGCTACTAATAGATTCCAGGTAACTATAGAATACCAGTTTATAATGCGAGGCAGCACTGACAACAGCATCTAGTCCTCATAAGCTGAAAGAGAAAATTAAAATAAAATATTAGTTATCTATGCCGACTTTAATGCGCATGGATATGAGTAAAGATATTACACACCTGCAGATAGTACATATACATTTCAGCTGGTAGTAGCACGAGTAGCTTTTAAAATACTGGATATTATACGTTAGATGCTATTGGATATAAAAGTAACCTAGAAAAATAATCAAATTGTATTTGTATAATTTCATTTACGAAAAAAAGCATTATTTGTAAGATTCAAATGGAAAATCTCCAAACAAAAGAATCATTTCAAACTGTTGTTTTCTTGTTTTATAGAACAAGGTTCACGTCTATACGTGTAGAAACGTTTACTATTTCGGCATACCAATCATAATCATAATTTTGATTTACTACATTAACCTTCAAACTATTGACTTATTATACTAATCACTAAAGGGGTTGTTACGTCTCCGTTTGTTAATTAACTTTCCGTAACTTCGTTCCGAAGAAACTTTAGCGACACAAGTCCTTACTTAATAAAACTGGTTTATTCTTTCCGAATATAACTTTATGATACACTTAATTTCAACAATCGCGCTAAAACAAACGCTATAACAACGAACGTGCTCAATAATACTCTCTGACTGCAGATCAATTACTCACTGTCTACACATACATTATTCCCCGTCACGTTGTCACCCTCTTTTATATACCAGACTACCCTATATCTAGTAAATGCTAGAGCATTCGCCAAAGTACAGGATAGTTCTAGAAAGTAGAAGGCGTGAGAATAGTCACGTGATCTCGATGACGCAACAATATAAATACTTTTTGTCATTATACCAAAAAAAGACACTTACATTAACTCTTTACTCTTATTTTCAAAAAACAAATGCAATTTTTGTGCGTACTGGCTACACGTTACCGTCGAACCTTCATATTTCTTCTACAAATTAGGTCACATTTTACTTTTTTTTTAAATAAAATTAGGCGTTCTTTTAGTTATAGGAATAAGCATTCGGGTTTGCGTCCTCTCTACTGGGGCAGTTTGTATCTTTTACACTACATAGTGTTGTTATTATTCTTCGTTAATACAGAACATTCTGTACGTTCAACTACTTCGACACTGAGATCTTTCCAAACTATCCAACAGCTGGCATAAAACACAAACATTCAGGAAAACAGCTGGTAGATCCTGCGATTGCAGGTGAAAAACGCGAAGACGTATTAGTCTTCTCAAAAAATATGATAATAATTTTTATATTTACGTGTTTCTTTTTTTTCTATTTATTTTGAAGGCGCATTTTAATGTTGTAGTCCATTTGTAAAGTCGCCCGAACCACTCCCTCTCAGAAAATATTATGATCATTTTTCGATTTATGTGTTCCTTTTCTCTGTTTATTATATTTTAATATATGTTTAGTAGTATAAGTTAAAATTACAAAGTCATTTCTGGAGGCTATTGTTCAACACTTGTTTAGTATTTGTACAGCTTAAACAATAACATTTACTTATTATTGTTTCCATTTTAGTCACATATGTACAAATAATAAACAATAGTTATATACGTTATGGATATAATAATTTTGCGATTAGACAGGTTGTATTGGAACGAATACTTTATCATTGTCTTATCTCTAGTTTTTGTTCTAAGCGAATAATGCATGTTTTTCTATCGTTTCTTTGTTTTTTTAACAAGGAAACTACAGTATGATAAGTTCTGTATGTGATTACTTTTTTCCATTTATGGAATTAGACAAATCACACTGTGGCAAATCATACGTGTTTTTTCGTTCTGTATATTTTGGTAGCTGGTAAACTATTTTGTGATCATTTCTAAACGGTTTTATTTTGCTTATTCTGGTGCTAAAGTAGAAGTAAACTCTGGTGAGTTATTTTTGTCTTATTCTGTTCAGTTTTTTAGTGTGTGAACATATTTCACCATTAATTTTGTAAAACATATAACCATGAAACGAACATATATTGAAAACAAAGTTGACGTTTGTTAGACGTTTGATGACTGTTCTTCTAATTAACAACCAAACAAAGGTAAATGAATTGCCTATAGACACTAACGACATCTTTATAAAAACGTTTCCTGTTAAATGGAAAATAACAAATTATCTTCCAAAATTATCTGCATACAGCTTTTCCATACTTTGTCAAATCCTCCCTCGTGATATGCACCTTTAAAGACGACTAGAAGTAATGAGGCCATCATCAACATAGCTTGGAAGAAATCTGTCCACACCACGGCTTTGATCCCACCCTTAAATTAGTGAAAAAAAATTTTCAATAGTTAAAATTATTGTAATTAAAGTAAGGAAGAAAATGAAACTATGTAAGCAAGAAATTATTAAATACAACTCGGTATATATAAGATAATATAGCATAATAATAACTACCGATTACAACATAAATTACCATTTTCAACTACTGCACACCCAATATTAAGTAATAGGTAAATTTGGAAGTAGCATTTGAAGATTGAAATTTAGAAGGAGAACGTATTGAGTTTTTTAAGTAAGTTTTATTGACATACAATTCTGTTTTTAAAAGTGAGATTAGAATATTAAAAAATTAATTATTTTTTAGAGAAAAACAATACTGAATTATCTGCTGTGTCCACCGTGAACCCCGGATTTTAGTATTGTAACTCTGTAGACTTATCGCTGTCCCAACGGGGGAAATATAAGAAAAAAGGAAGCACTACAGTAACGTTGCTATGTAGAAAATTAAAATTTTCTTTTATTCTAAACACATTTCACCCCAATAATCAAAAAGTTATGAACATTTTCTCCACAAAGAGAACAACCAACAGCTTTGATACAAAACCTATTTCGTATGTTAATATTTTCCCTCTCCTATATAGCACCGACTTTGACCCTACCGTTCGTCACACCGTGTGGAACTTAATCTTTGGAGGAAGCTTTTTATTGCTAACTAGATTCGGAGTTGACCAAGTCCTGGTGCAACGTTATCTAAACACACCTTCCCTGAAGGCTGCTCGCTGTAAGTAGTTTTAACATATCTATCTGGTAGAATGGAACCATTAGTAAATAAACTATCACATATCATTATTCCATTTTTAGGTTTTAAAACACTGGATAATGTCGATTGTTTGTGCTAATATCTGGTTGATTGTATAAAAATTAATGACGGTACATGTTTGGTTTTTATCATTGATTGTAAGACTGTATTTCAGAAAATGGAATGCCAGTCCTAAGAACGTCAATAATGCCCAATAAAAGCGTAGATGGTGCTTAACTGTGCTAAATAAATAATCAGGCGGATAACTTCCTATTAATGTCTGGATAAGGTATTTTTAAAATATAAATAAAATGGTTTATTTTCTTCTTGTTCTTACTGGTGATTCCAGTAGAGAGTTGATTTTGTGGTGATTAGATTCATTTAAATTCTTATCTAGAATAATGAAAGACTTATCGAGAGACGAGAAATGTGTAATATATCTGTTGTAGTTTTTAATCCTATAATAAGCAGAATTGAAACATAATGATATCAGCTTTATTAGAGAACTAATTTTATAAAGTTTACAATAACAGAGACCATTGTGTGGTTATCATTTTATTTTCAAAATTCAAATTTGTAATGAGAAATGCATTCGCGTTTGCATTTGTTTCTTATGTCACATATAATTTCTGTGGGAGGATTACTGGTTTGGCCTAGTGGTTAGGGTACTCGCCTCTTAAACTGCGATTGATGCGTTCGAATCTCGTCACTCTATCAGCCTTAGTGATGTTATAATATGACGATCAATTCCACTATTCGTTGGTAAATAGTAGTCCAAGAGTTGGCGATGGATAATATTCACTAGTTTTTTTTTTCTAATTTATTACTACTAAATTAGGGACGATTATCGCAGATAGCCCATGAGTAACTCTGCACTAAATTCAGCAAACAAACTCTCTTAAGGTTATTGGTAAATACTGACAGTTTTTACTTATTTTATGAAAATAAAACATTAGTAATAGAATTAAGGAAACAAAGGCAGTTGCACATTTCACAAATATTTTGCTTATTACGACCATATTTTCGCCAGTAAAGACGTCATCAGGTACAGACTAAACTAGCTTGTAAAGATGTATATAATCAAAGAACCGGGAGTAACTTTGAACCTCATCCTGAAGAAAGTGTGAAGGAGTTTGAATTGATTGGTCGTTTAGAGCTTTGTCTTTATTCGATTTTATAATTTTGTTTATTTCTGAAATTTCCATAAGGTGTGATGCAAAAGTCCATTTTTCTCAGTTTTCAGCGTCTTGATGTTTTTCAGCTCTTGTTTCTAGGGGAACGTCATAATGACCTTATGGAAAATAAATACCCTTTTTTTCCGGAAAAGAAATGCAAAATTTTACACATCTCCGAGAAATGTAAAAACTAAATAACCTGGACATCTATTATAATAATACTTAGTTTTTGGTTGTTCTGAAAATGCGCGCGCTCCCCACTATCTAAGTGCATATGAACGCGATCCTCATTTCAACGGATCTGAACAAAAGGCGAATGTAAATATACTTTAGTAGATATCTTGTACACCAACATATTAAAAATTGTCAAAGTTTTTTAAAATGTCTTACGTTAGATCGCAGAATAATATTATAATCGGTTTATTGATAGTATTAAACACGGTAAAGTTTAGCTCTATCTAAACTAATGCAAAAAAAAAAAACGTATACAAGTTACAT